TTCTCTGAAAGCTGTTCTGTTTTTAGTTTGCAGGAATGACTCGGTGTCATGAAGTGTTACCTATAGGATAGTATGCACACATTTACTCGTGCATCCTTAAAACTCTTAAAATTCAATCAGATGACTGTAATGTTATAGGTATCACTTGTACTGATGAACCCACAGCCAATTATTTTGAACTCTGACCTTATCTGTCACCATGGGACTCTGTCACACTGTCTGGGAGTGTACAGTCATTTTATTATCCTGCGGCACGTTCCTCTGTCCTTCTTAGCTTTTTATATTAAACTTGTTCACATGCAACATCTCCTTTAAAACTTTAGGAGTACATAATATACTCCAATTAGTTACGGGATGCAGTATTTTTAAGACCTTGGAATACAGTTCTCTGTGGTGTAGGGTGGGACATCAGAGACTTTTGACATCTCTGGGTAGCGTGTTAGAAAGTATCGCTGGGTGTCAAACATGCAGCGATCATATTATCATAACCACGGTGGCTTACAGTGAGTTATTAAGTTGTGGTAACTTCCTTGTTAAGTCTGATGTTAGCATGGCACTGCTGTCTTCTGTAAGAGTGCCGGAGCAGTGGGAGTCAGAAGATGAGCCCCAGGAGACGAGAACATGGGATGGCAGGGGTAACGGGTGCTGTCAATAGTAAGATTTATTATCCATCGGGTGTCCCACGGAGGGGGACCGCTGTTTCCTGGAATTGGCAGTCAGGTATGGAAGGGGAGACCCTAAGAGGATGGATGGGTGGTGCAGTGGCCTGTCAACACCCCCAGTCAGAAGGCTGAGGAGAGAGAGAGAGAGAGAGCAAGCAAGCAAGAGCATAGAAGTAAGTACCAAAGCTCTGAAGTAGCAGACAACTTTACTCAAAATCTAGTCCACACTGCTGAGAGGAGGCTCAGTCATCATAGGGATGTGACTCTAGTTCAACAGATCCACTTACGTGATGCTACATCTGTCTCCTGAAGTTGACGAAGTAGTTATGTTAGTGATTTGTCAAAGGTTTTGAGTGGATTCTTCTTTTGGACTAACAGACGAGGATCAGAGTTGTATTACTGAGAGGATAAATGAGGGAAAACCTGACTGAAGGGTTGGCTTACTCGTATTACATTTAGTGGTCTGCAGCCATGAGATTCTAGTGGATTTATTTTCTGAGATTTAGAAATGTGTCAAATTTCTCCATCCACCCCTTTTGTGGCAAATTGAATTTTGTTTGTATAAATGACATTCAAATAATATATCCAATTTATAACAACTTGGGTCTTGGTTTTGTAGCGTTGGCCATTATTTTTAACAGCTTTGATAACATTGTCCTGTAGAAACATAAGCACCGAGACAATCACACAGACTGTAAACAGTATATCATTTTCCCTGCATGATCATCTGACTGAGGTTGGTCTGTAAACTGAGATGGATGTTTGCAGCTGGGAATAATTGTAATTCTTACTCTTCTTTTAGGCTCAATATGTTTGGCGAAGTTTTTATTTAACCCTGTTTGATCATCTGAATGTTGGCATTTCTTGCATTATTGGACTTCTTCTTAGCAAAGTTACTGCATTTACAGATCTCACTAATTAAACCAAGTAACTCTGAAAAGTTATCAGACTTGGATTCAACAAAGTGCAGTTTGTGAATGATCCAGAGGATGCTCTTTCTAGAAGAGATGGTGTTGCAGAATTTCTTTAAATCTTTTTTTAATACTGGAAGTAGGCATACACTAGCCCAGCCTCATTGTCCCAGTATCAAATCAGATGCTTGATGATACTGAGCACTGATTAGATGCTTGTGCTGTCATTTTCCAAAATAATAAAAATTTGTGCATACTTCACTGCATGGAACTCGGTAGAATCATTGTTATGGAAGGTACCATGAATACAGAGTTGGATTCTTGGCCCTGGCTTGAATGTAACTGATACTGGATACCCTTTGTTTTGCAATGACACTTACAGATAAAAAGTCAATCAAACTAAGGAGTAAAAGAACTTGAGCTGAAAAAAATAGTCAATTAATGGATTACTTGAGCAACTGAACATAATGAACTCTTTATTCAGAAATGGATATCTCAAAACCAGGGAGAGTAAAGCTGCATGCATGGATAGATAGCACCTGAGGTTGGTGACAAATATGTTGAACCAACCCTTTAACGTGTGTCTGTGACTAGAAGGCAGGCTGCTTATATGAGAAGCGACGAGTGGAGTGGCTGGAGTAGATTATCTGTGGATTCACAGCAGCGAGTCAGTGAGAGATGGATGGGCACTGTGCGAGCTGCATGTGTCTGCAAACAGCGTCTTCACAGCGCAGGGCGCCACTTCTCTCACTCTCCCCACATAGTGAGGCAGGCCACTGTCAAAGGTCTATTAAGGGAAGATTGAGACCCCAGGTGTATATGTGTGAGTAAGCGTGCATTTTTGTGTGTGTGTGTGTGTGTGTTCACATACTCATTGGTTATGGTCCTATAGGGGAAGATTGAGACCCCATTGCTCCCAGAGCCACTCAAGCAACACAACCTGCAGTGGTTTACAATCAGAGCAACACCGTCCATCCATCCCTGCTGACACACACACACACACACACACACACACACACACACACTTAGGGATACACTCTAGAAGCACAGTTCACTGTAGATGTCATTAAACAGTAGCCGAGGTGGAACGGTTGTGTGACAGCGCTGCGGACATGGCACTTGTCATGATGTTTAGGATGAGGGCTTGGAGGCAGATTGAGGTGCAGGTTGGGGATGCAGGGAGCAGGGTGCTGTAAGAGGTTGTGGGGTGGGAGTCGTGGCAGCACCTTTGACAAGCCCTATTTGTCATCTGCCAGGACACCCAAATAGCTTTGACTGCAATACAGATGGATTGTGGGAGAAAAAGTGACTTCAAGCCAGGCAACTAATCCCATACAAGCCACCACCCCACCTCCACCCATAAACTCTTTTGCTCTCTCTCTCTCTCCTTTTTTTTTTTTTTTCCCTGGACTCTCTTTCATAACCCAGCACACACCTGCTATGCCCACAGGCTGCACGATATAATTGAAATGAATGCCACTTTGATGACAGTACTTTTTCTGATGTTGATATGTAACACAGTCTCACGTAAATATGCAAAATCACATATAAGTGATTTTCAGTACAGACCCAGTTTTGGCCATCAAGAGAGGAGGGGATGAGAGATGCATAATCCACAGTGTATGTGCACATTTGAACCACGCAGTCAGTATTTCAGCAGCCCCCTCACCCCCAGTGAGTCTATCCAGCAGTCTCCATAGCTGCATCTTGGCCCACAAGAGAGCCGAGAGAGAAGGTGGAGTGGAAATTGAATCATTTTATTGTTTGTCACTGCAGCCCTCATGGCCATAGGCTGTTACTGGACACTAATAATTAGGGAAACAATCCTGACAATGGAAAATTAAAGACTTGTGATAGAAAATGAGCTTATTGCTGAGAGTACAAACTCATTTATTGTCACTCTCTCCACTCTTCTCTTTACTCATTAGGTAGAGTGCTGTCACTGAGTGATTGGTAGAGGGGGAACAGGTAGTGCAGATTATAACTATTTCTGGGTGGAATTATGCAAATGAATGAACTGAGCAAATGTTTCAATATTCCACAAAGCTTTTAATTCACATCTGTAAAAGTTTATTTGTTGTGAAGTGTCTTATTCCAGAGGTAACATTGCATAAAATCCACATGCTCCATTTTTCAGCAGTTTGAACCATTGTTTCTGTGGACAGTAAAAATCTTACAGACCAAAGTAAATAGCTGAGCTCTGGGTACATGGTCAAGAGCCAGAAAACACAAGCCACGCCCTAGGTTAGCTGAACTTTTTTGTTAGTTTTTTTTTTTTTTAATTAGGAAAGGAGGACAAAGAAACAGATTTATTAGGTATAGCGGGAGCAAAGGGAAAAGTTGAAGATCATATGTGAGGAGTGTTTGGCGAGGAAAGCCTCATGTCCTTTGACCTTTTTGCCAAAGAAAGGTTTCAGTATGAAGTTGTGTGAGTGTAGATAGGTCTACCAGGTGGGCAGACTAGTTCCCAGGTTCAGCTTTACCCCTCTGTAGTTTTCATCATCTGCCTTTGTCACTGACTGGTTTACACTTCGGCTGGTTGTCTGAAGGCTCATGTCTCTTTTTTTTGACATCTTTAGGATAATAAGGTGACACGTTTTGACCTCAGCCCTTTCTTTGAAATGCAAAATTTTTCTTTTCACACCTAAACGTCCTACTGTGGTACTGCTCTAGTAGTCGAGAGGTTTTGTATGATGGAAGGGGTATGGTAGTTGTAAATGAAAAAGCGGGGTTTTGACATTTAAACTTTTTTGCCACACTAAGCAGTAACTGTCTTATTAACGCTGGGTCTAGAACTCAAATTCTTTGACACAAACCTCTGTGTTATCCACAGTTACCATACATCTTTAACTTCAGTAGAGAGACTCCTGGCTCGTGTAGTGTTTGATCTTAGTAAACTGGTATGAGCTGGGACTGAGACAACCCACAATGCAAATTCTCTTCTTTGTGTGAGTACATCAGCCAGACCAGACCATCATAAAACAACATGATGGATACACAGCCAAACAAATAAATATATAAAAGCACTTAGTCCTTTTTTTTTCTATGCCAATCTCTCTCCTCTTACGCCTCTTCTCTGATGGATCTGTAAAATGATATAACGAATGAGACTTAAAGTGAGAATGAGGGAGGGAGGCCGGGCAGGAGGGATGAAGGCTGCGAGGGAAGAGACAGAGGATTTGATTTATTAGGCTCATAAAAATTCTGCCTTTGTTATTCCCTCTCATTTTTATATGTGAAGCTTATTAAAGAGCACACCTGCCAGAGTCCTGAGACAAACTTGTGCATGTGTGTGTATATATACACAGTTTTATGCATTCAGCATGATGTGTATGTGCATTTATTTGCACACTGACTGGGGATGGAATTCTTGCTCTAGTCTGGGATCGGATTTTTATTTGTGACCTGTGCACTTTGCTGTCCTTAGGTCCCACCTCTTCCTCCCACCGTAGCCCTGCCTCCCAGCGGGTGTTCAGGACACGCTACAAGATGGTGACTCGCCCGGGCTGCAGCACCGCACACCCCCTCCAGTGCAGCCCCGCCTTCTCCTGGAGAGCCAAAAGGATCCAGTCTGCCAGGTGAGCTGATGCCCAACAGAATAACCATGTACACAAAGACAAATGCACACATACACACACCTGCTGCAGGTCTGGGTGTAATGTGTCTCAGTGGTTATTATCCTTCAGTGCAGTGCACCGTCACCGTCGCCGTCATGTGTAGCATGAGTAGAAGGGGTCGGAAATTTATGGAGCTCATTTTTACACAGTAGATAACCCAGAGAATAAACCATTTACACCAGTGTGCTGCTCACATTAATTTCCAGCAGCCAGGACAGATACAGAAAGAGAGAAGGGTGGGTGGATCCATTTCTTTCTCTTCTCCCTATGTTCATTTATCTAACTATCACCCTCTCTGTCTCAGCACTCATCTTTCTGTCATTCTCAGTCAAAATATAAACCACCAGTGAGTGTGGATTTCACAGTACGATGAGCGTTAATAGGGCTGTAGCTAACCGCTAGCTTCCTTATTGGTTAATCTCTTAAATGTTTATTTTTTAATACATTTTGTCTGTTAAATATCATAAAACTGTTTCCAGGCACCCACAGCGACATCCGTCTTTTGCTTGTTTTGTCTTGCAAATAAATAAAAACCAAAAATAAATTCAATTTACTGAACACAGACAAAAGCAGCAAATTCTGACGTGAAGCTAGAGCCAGAAAATATTTAGTATTTCAGACCAATAAACAACATAATAGATTACTTGCTCTCAGTATTGGTTTCATTTAATCAACAAATCAATTCAGCACCAGTTTGCAATTATAGGAATCTCGAGTCTTATGTGACTTAGTTGTACATAATACATATTTTTATCCCTATAACACAGAGAGCTGAAAAGATCTACTTTGTGTGATGACATGTTGTGGTGGGGAGGGCGTGTCTGAGGGTTGAGAGTTAATTATTGTTTACGAGGAGGTCATTACTGGGTGGCAGATGTTAAGTTAATGCCTCATTTATGGCTTTATCACTATGAAAAAGACACAGTACAACAGCATTTATTAACCAAGTGGCTCAGAGCTTTGTTTTCTACAGTAGCTACTTACAGGTTGATTGTGAAGGCTCTGAAGGGTTGTTGTGGTTGGTTTTGATAGTTTGTTGATATGTAGGGATTTAACATGATACTTATGCTGAAGATTGATCTGACTAAACTGTCACACACATCACATGAAGGAATCCCTCAGCAATAATGCAGTGTTATCAATGCAAATATTTTAGATACATTTGTTAAAATTAAACATTTTATTATTGACAGTGTAGTAGATCCTCCATTTTGTGTGCTCTGTAAAGGGTCACTTCATTACAATACACCTTGTGGTGTGTATCCATGCATAATTTCTCCATCATGTCCCAAGATTTGGGCATATTCACAGCTGAAACTTGGGCTTCCTGTTAGTGAGAATCATCTACAAACATCACTTTGGACAGACTTCATATGGGGAGTGTTTTGTGTAAGGTGGTTACAGCTATCTAATTGGCTACATGTCACTACTGGTAAGTCCAAAAATGTTTCACTTTTGTGAATGCCATGAACTGATCCTTTAATTATAAACAGCTACTCAAAATAAAAAATTAAAGCATTTTGTGCATTTGTGTTTTGCATGTGCGTTTGTGTGTGTTGCTGATGGAAGGTTCATTTGTGTAATCCAGATTTGGTGAGACATTTGAGTCCTGGACTGTGGCTGGACTCAGCCTGTGGTGACTTATTACTATTCATTTAACTGCTGCAGTAAATATTGATTCATCAAGGGATTTTCAATTTGAGCCTCTTGACATCTTGTGAAATATCACCAAGTGTGTAGAAGTGAGGGAAGAGATAGGGAGCGAGGGGGACAGGCCGGCTCCCAAGGGACAGTGGATCACCCCTCTTCTTTCTTTATCTGTTTAACTCCAAAGACCCTCCACTTTTATTGGTTTGAAGCTATTGAGTGGTGCCTGAGCTCATACTCTGCTCTTCACTACTGAATGCTGCTTTCATCTTGGGCCTGTCACACCCACTGCCATACCACGCACATTCTCAGCTCTTATCTCCATGCTCATAGCTGATCCCCTCACTCAGGGCCGTGGGCCAAAACACCAGATCCAGGCTCTTGCAGTGGTCAGAGGTTCCCAGTGTCTTCATGCCAGTAGACTGTATGGATTCTAAATGACAGTTATATTGTGTAAATTGAATGTTTTAAAGTTGAGTAGAAATCAAGCTATTCTTTAAGAATAATCAAAGACTCAGATTGTCCACTCACTTTTTTTACTTAAATTTATATGATTCAGCATTTCTTTTTAGACAGTGGTTCATTAAGAAATGACATCTCACTTTGCATGGAAGCCCTCACAGGGGGGAAAAAAACCGCAGAGATAATGCTGGTGGATATGGCTTCACTCAATATCATGATATTATTAAGAATATTTTCTTTATCTTACTCTTAAAGATCTAAGCAGAGACGATGCTTATTATAGACCTTATAAACATTTATAGCATGTATAGGCTTAGTTTTAATTCAGTTCAATTCCATTTATTTGCATAGCACCAATTCACAACAATTGTGTCAGGGCACTTTACATAATCAGGTCTAGGCCTTACACTATATTATAAGGAACCCCCCCCTTGAGCAGCACTTTGTGACAGCAGGGAGGACAAACTTGCAAACTTGCAGCCTTCTGCCTCGGCCGGTTGGCGTGAGTGGATAGAGGACAGCAAAAGAAATGCATCAGGACACAACTGAGACATACGTATATAACATACACACATATACAGTACATACTGTATATATGCACACACATACAAGATACATATACAGTACATACAACACTGTATGTATGTACATATAATCCCTCCATCCATTATCTATACCGCTCATGCTGAATAAAGGGGGGCTGAAGCCAATCCCAGCTGACACTGGGGAAGAGGCGGGGTCCACCCTGGACAGGTCGCCAGTCTGTCACAAGGCTGGCACGTAGACAAACAGCGTATACACTCTCACTCCTAAGGGCAATTTAGAGTCACCAGTCAGCCTAAGCTGCATGTCTTTGGACTGTGGGAGGAAGCCAGAGTACCCGGAGAGAACCCACACAGGCACATGCAGACTCCACACAGAAAGGCCCCGAGTCGGCCAGGGCTCAAGCCCTCTTGCCGTGAGGTGACAGCGCTAACCACTGCTGTGCCACCCACAAAATATAATATTAATTATTGTATACACTGTATGTGTATACTAAACACACACGCGCACACATTTACATACATAACACCATACAGTCATCAGCACTGTTCCTTATAATCAGTCAATAATACACAAATGTGCCAAAGAATGGGAGAGAATTTAAAGTTGTCTAATGTCCAGAATGAACCTGTCTTGCTTTTTTACTTGGCGAATCCTTTTTCTTCTGCTACAGATCAAACTCGATGGGCAGAACAAAATAAACACACAATGCCTTTACATTTTGAAGAGGGAAATAAAATCAGTGTTCACACCACAATAACCAACCAGATAAACCCTCTAAGCCTGCCTCCCTCTCTACACTCCCCCTGCTCCCAGGCCCAGAGTAAGTGAGCCCCCCCCAACCATCCTGAGCTCATACCCGGTGCCAGCCGTAATGAGCGTGTTTGGTGATTTAGTGCTGGGCCGCAGTTTGAAGGGGAGGTGAATCGGCTGCAGGAATTCAGTATTTCAGCCCCCGCCACCAGAAAATAGATATAATCTCAAGATTAACTCCATTAATAGTAGCAGGAGTTGAATTAAGAAAGCTGTAAAGCATGCACGCCGTAGGATAAATTACAGCCCACCCCTTCCTTTGTCTCTCACACAGCTTCTCTGTTTTCCTCTCTGCTGTCCCTTCTTTAATTCTCTACGACCATGTGTTTACATTGTCACTGGTCTTTTCTGTTTGCCTTATCTTTTTAATAGTTAATTTAACAAGAATTTTGTACCACATCCTACACAGGACTCTCGTTGAAGTTAGATTTTTATCGTCAGTTTCTCAACTTCCACTTACCTCTGTCTTCTGTTTTTTATTTCTATGTTAATTTTAAAGGCCCCAACATGGCGAGACACCTCAACCCCAAATAAGTATACTATTTTTGAATGTACGCATCTACACGCACATACACATCCACACGCTGGGCCTCGTCGCTCATCTCCTTTAGTGCTTCAGTATCGATCAGTACAGGATGTAAAAGACTGGCGATAGAGCGAAGCAGCACTCCTTCTTCTTCACTTCTGTGCTCCTTTGCCTGCATTCACTCCCCCATTTATCTGCTTTTATACTGCAATTCATTCATTTACTCATTACTTATCACATTATTCATCCGCCTGTCTCTTTCAGTTGTGTGTTATGAGCCTCTTCTGGTGCTGTTCACGTTGGTCTACACAGATATTGTCTGGTTTGCCGGTTAATGTCATTTCCTCAGTTAATAGGGGGTTTTGTTCTTCACAGTCAGCGTGATACGTAATGACGTTGCTTTGGTTTCCTTTAAGTGCCTGAAGAACAGCAGTGGTCCTCACTGTTGGAATTAGCCAGATGACTGTTTTTGCTGTGCTCGGTTTCAAGGGTAACTGTTTCCCAATATGAGCTTACTAATGCTTGGGTTGCAGACAAATAGACAAGGGCAGCATTATTCTGAGCAGCCGTGCGACCCTCCAAATTCTTTCCTGCCACTAAAACAAAAGTCGGATCATTCATCAACGGTGCTGGTAGTGCTGAATCGCGCTCTCCTTTATCTGTGCGTTGTGTGGTCACAGCAGTTCATGCACATGTACCTGCACACACACTCACACACATGCATCCAGGCTATCTCAGGGGAGTTTCTGTGTGCCCTTGCTCCCTTCTCTGTTTCTTCCTTTTTCCCTTCACATATATTTTTTTCTTTTTTTGTGGAGTTTTTGTTCTTTTACACTGACCTCTAGTTTTTCTGTTTTGTAACACAATTAAGTCAGGCACTACACAAAGTACTTCAAGGATGAAGCACTCAGTTTATTAATCCATTAGTCAATTAACAGATACAATGTTTAACCAACAAAATATTAGATTTATTTGAAAGCCATTTGTTAAGCAAAAAGCACTAAACATTCTCTGGTTCTTGAATGTCATTGTACAGTACTGTGCAAAAGTCTTGGGCTACAGTTAGTGTTGCCGTTTTAGCAAGGTTGTCATGAAAATTTATATTTATTTCTCAGTCTCCTTATTAAGATATAACCAGAACAAAACAGGAAATATGCACACAATATTAAAAAACAAAATTTTCTGAATAAAATGGCTTCTACAGTCCTATGTCAGTATTTTGTGTGACCTCCCTTTGCACTTCCATGTTTCACTGAAGGCTGCACTTACTCTTCCACTTCTCTCCAGCTCTTCTTCTCATATACCATCGACAAGCAGACCCGAAAATGTCAAGCTTCGATTCATCACTCTATAGTCCACTTTTCCACTGATCTTCATCCAAGTCTCTGCAAGCTTTTGCATATCTCAGAGTTTTCTCCCTGTCCTCTTCTGGAAAAAGTGGTTTCTTGGCTGCCGTCCTTCCACAAAGGCCGTTCATGATCAAGCTTCAGACTGTGGACAGGTTGGCACAAGCGGCATGTGCCGTTTTACATGGCGTATTCAAATGGAACAGAAACCACGTTCATCCGGCACAAACCAGTACTGTGCCATTAGAAGACTTGTAGCCATGTCATTACCCTGCTGCAGCTCATCATGGCAGACAGTCTGGACATGGAGAGAAAATTTCTTTTACATGGTATTGCCCTCTGATGGTGTGATCCTTACATTCTTCACTGTTTGTTTCTGCTTCTCCTCCTCTCTCATTACAGGGAGATTACCTTATTGCGTAGGTAATCTGCTCCCACAGAGGCAGTTTTCACTAATGGTGTTGGACCTGAGGGTATAAACTCATTCACATGGCTCTGCCTCACATTGGTCCAGTGATTAGAGTGTGCGCAGTCAAGCAAAACTCACACTCAATTCTAAGGACTGGCTACATTTATGCACAAATGAGGCAAACAGACTTGCATAATCACCAGCCAAAAATACTGACGTGTTGTACCATATCTGTGCTTATTCCTTTCTGTATTTTCACACCCCTTTCATGCATGAATTATGAAAGCCACAGTCAAGATGTTTTTCCTGTGTTTTTATTACTCTTTGAGCATAAAAAGAAAAAACTTTTCTCTCTTTTTTTTTAATATTTACCTGCAGTTTTCAAGGAGTTCTTCACTTGTCCACTCAGGTGGACTGCATGCACTTGACTTTGTAACTGAAGAAAGAATTTTGCAAAACAGAGAAAAAAAATCATATGTGAAAATTATGAAATGATATTTCAGATTTTGTTACTGTTTTATACAGTGGGTACGGAAAGTATTCAGACCCCCTTAAATTTTTCACTCTTTGTTATATTGCAGCCATATGCTAAAATCATTTAAGTTCATTTTTTTCCTCATTAATGTACACACAGCACCCCATATTGACAGAAAAACACAGAATTTGACATTTTTGCAGATTTATTAAAAAAGAAAAACTGAAATATCACATGGTCATAAGTATTCAGACCCTTTGCTCTGTGACACTCATATTTAACTTAGGTGCTGTCCATTTCTGCTGATCATCCCTGAGATGGTTCTACACCTTCATTTGAGT